CTTAGATAATCAAACATGCTGATTGTGGTAGACACTTGTATTATTTTTAACCTGGTTTTTATAATTGTGCATAGTGATTATTTGTTTGTTTGTTTTACTTCTAACATATTCGCAGTTGATGTGAAGAGTTGCTGGAGTAATTTGCACAGCAAGTTTTATTGGTCATAAAACTCAATCTAAAATGCATGTTCTTCATTGCTGTGTACTAGCACTTTGTCTGCTGACCATCTACACATAAGCTGAGCACTCCTGTAACACTCTTCTGCTTTCTCTGCTCTATTGCAAACCAATTTTTCAGGAACAGAAAATCAAACCCAGGCACTACACCTCAAGCAAGGCTATGTCAAATAGCTACATGTTTCAGTTGACTATTATTGTACAGTCACAGACCTTTCCATTGACATACTTAAAGAACAGATTTAAAATGACTTGTGTCACACTTAAAATGTAGGCTTCTTGTTCTTTTCTTTTCTGGATTCCTAGTAGAGAAAAAAGCATTGACTCTTTTAGCAATCCATGTGGTGCTCAGATTAACAACCCCATTTGGAGAAACATCCGTAGCTTACCATATTTTCTTTTGTTATTCCATTTTTAACGTTCCATATGTCTAAAGCTTGTGAGTTATTTATTTTTCTTACTGGTCTCACAAGAGGGACATTACAGATGCTTTTTTTTAAACTTCACCCTCTGACTGTCTCTTTAATAACCCACGTCAATAAGTTAGCTAAAATTCCTTTATTCAAGTTAAAGGTTTGTGTCCTACAGGGTTTATATATGTTTTCTCAAAGAAATAAGTTAGTAATTCATATATTTGAGTCATAAATGCTGCCCTTACTAAAATTCCTTTGGGGGGTTAAAAAAGGGACAACATTGACCACAAGATGAACATGAGCCTGCAATGTGATGCTGCAGCTAGTAAAGCGACCAAAACGCTGGCTTGCATCCATAGATGCTTCTCAAGCAAATCCCGGGACGTCATTCTCCCCTTGTACTCGGCCTTGGTGAGGCCGCAGCTGGAGTACTGCGTCCAGTTTTGGGCTCCACAATTCAAAAAGGATGTGGAGAAGCTTGAGAGAGTCCAGAGAAGAGCCATGCTCATGATCAGAGGTCAGAAAAACAGACCTTACAACGACAGGCTGAGAGCCGTGGGGCTCTTTAGCCTGGAAAACCGCAGGCTCAGGGGTGATCTGATGGCCACCTATAAGTTTATAGGGGTGACCACCAGGATCTGGGGGAACGTTTGTTCACCAGAGCGCCCCAAGGGATGACGAGGTCGAACGGTCATAAACTACTGCAAGACTGTTTCAGGCTGGACATAAGGAAGAATTTCTTTACTGTCCGAGCCCCCAAGGTCTGGAACAGCCTGCCATTGGAGGTGGTTTAAGCACCTACATTGAACACCTTCAAAAGCAAACCGGATGCTTATCTTGCTGGGATCCTATGACCCCAGCTGACTTCCTGCCCTTTGGGCAGGGGGCTGGACTTGATGATCTTCCGAGCCCCTTCCAGCCCTAATGTCTACGAAATCTATGAAATATAGAAACAGAATAAAATATTAAAGTAGGATAGTACACCAAAACAAGCTCCCTCTTCCCCACAAGCTCTTCCAAATTAAAAAGCAATGCACCCCACCCAACTCCATCCCACTACCTGCCTCAGACTAAAGAGAATTTTCTCCTTGCCCAAACTAACCTTACTTCCCACAAAAGGAACCAACATGCCGCTTACCCCTCCATATATTCTCCTGTCCCTTACCTACTCCCACTCCCCTTCCTCACACCCAGGGGAGCTCCTCTTTCCCATTACTGTCCCTCCCAGTACAGTACCTCCCTCTCCCAGGGAGGGCTATAGATATCCACAAAACCTTCATCCTCCTGTTACTCCTCAAAGAAACATTGTTCAGATTTAATCAGTAACAATGAGGCATGACTTGTGTTCCCATGAGAAGCAGCAGCACAAATTTGCTGTGTTTTTTTGGGGTATAATTCAGTGATCTTGTCCTAGTGTGTTACTGCTCTTGAGTTTCTCACTGTTGTCTTGACATCTCTTTCTCTGAGGAGCTTACACATTAGTTATTGACTTTTATTGTGTCGTCAAGTGCTTCAGGATAATTCATGTACTTGAGTACACCTTCATTTCAGGGTCTTATCTTGGTTGATCAGTGGACATGCTTGAGTTGCCATATTGCAAAGTAATAATTGACTTAATGTGTACTTGCTGGTGCTTGTGTGTGTCACTAGGATGTATTATCTCATGCATCTTTTAGCTACTCAGATGTTTCCTGACTTTAAGTGGATGGGGAGAATGGGCATGAGGGGTCTGGGGGCACTCCTGCGGACATAAGCTGGATTTCTATGTTCAGAGACCCTTCAGGCTGCGCGCATATATGTTTTCTGATGTTAACAATCCAGGAGTTAATTGCAAGTGCTACAACTCATTTACTTTGCTGATGGTGTTGTACAGGAGCCCATTTCTCATTCTGATGGCCACAGTGGCAGATTTCAAACCTGCCATTGATTTAGCAATGATTATTGCTTATCTTATGTATTAGATCCATGTGAATTGGAAGGAGATTTTATGGAGGGAATCCTTCCATGTCAGACTGAAGAGAAGACATACCTTTTGAAAACAATGACTGTTTTGAAGCTGCTCAGAGGTTTGAAATCATTAATGGGATTTCTGGTGGAAATGAATTAGCAGGCAGAGTACAGGTGGTCAAAAATGTATGAAAAATCTTCCCTAGCATTTTAATATATGGATGCTGACACACGTGTGTACTCATGTTAGTCTCAATACATTATTTGCTTTTTTGTCTTCTGCTTCCAGGAATATGTACTTAGATAACAAAGAGGATGAAGCAATATCGAGGAAACTAGAGATGGAGATGACCCAGACATCTGCACATCGCGCAGGTTTGCCTGGAAATGTGGCATCTGAGCCAGAAACCAGAAACCTCAATGAGCTGCAGTTGTTAAAGGAGTTTCATGCAATGGTGGCTGTTCAGGGGGAGCCCCCAACACCGCATCAAAATAGAGCAATAGGGCAGGATTGCTGTGTTGCCCTGGGGAAAGATTTCAGCCCACTCACCATGCAAGGAAGGTAAGAGAGAGAACAAACTGAATCATTTTCTCCTATTAAAAGTTGTTTTTGTTCCCTGACAGCGTAGATAAACACTACATTTTAGTTAACATCTTTCTACAGTGCATGGAGTGGGAAGCTGGAGAGAAATTTACAGCAATCTTAATTGCCTGGGGAGGGAGACAGGTTCATTAGATGCCTGGACTAATATCAGCCTTTATAGGAGCTCTGCACCAGTTTGTCTGTGTTTTTAAAACCAGAGGGCCTGAGTTTCCTTTCCAACTATATATGTTAAACAAAATGGTCACAAAATCTTTGTATAAGGGCTATAAATGCCCTTATACAAAGAAAAGATAGCCCCCCCCCCCCGGATAAAGTAACACCCAAATTACCTAGCTACATCTCAAGGCTTTATACTGTATGACTGTTGCTAAGGACTCAGGACAAAAAAATTGCACAAAGGATGCTGTTCTGAGCCATAACACCACACACAGCCATTTGGGGTGTGACAGGCACCTACTGAGAGGTGTCCCCTTCACTTCCATTGCTGCCAACTGTGAGAAGATCTGGCCCCCAGTGTGTGTAGTTGTATTGTTTAAAAATGGGGACGCTGTGGCATTATACACTTTTTCTCTCTGCTTGAATAATTTCATCTTGAATAAAACCTACAAGTATATAAGGGAGGTGCATCAGGACCTGGGAGAACAGTTGTTCACCAGAGCTCCCCACGGGATAACAAAGTCTATGTTCACAAACTCCTGGAAGGCCGATTTAGACTGGACGTAAGAAAAACTCCTTTACAGTCTGAGCATCCAGGGTCTGGCACAGACTCCCCCCAGAGGTGGTGCAAGCACCTACTCTGGACCAGGCGCAGATGGTGAACTCA